AAGAGAAAGAAATTCGTTGTTTTGTTTACATTGTCTTATGGGAATTTCTACCTCACAGATATTTTAAAATGCATTCACATAAAGAACTGTTCTCATTAATCCACTCACAAATAATATTTTTGCTGTTTATTAGGGTATGATCAGCTTTTCTGTTAGATATGGTCACTGGTAACAGGAAAGCAAAGCCGGAGGCTGTAAAATTTATTTGATCTTCACTGAGAAGATCAACACACAAGAGACCTCAGGAAACTGAGCAATCCAAGGTGTCTGGAAAAGTTTCATTATCCTTCTTTGTGTAATTCAGACTGTGTGGGTATTTTTCTTCAGGGGGCAGTACTAGCAGCTGTGTCAAGCCACAAATTCAACTCCTTCTATGGTGACCCCCCTGAAGAGCTGCCAGACTTCTCTGAAGACCCCACCTCCTCAGGTATTTCAACTCAAAGGGTGTTTACTGCACTCAGCCTGCCTTAATTCTATCCTGACTAGAGTACCAAGCATTTACTAATTTCGTGAGATTTCATCAAATTGAATATTAAGTTCGTGTTTTTGTGTGAAAGAATAAATAGTTTTCAGTCGTAATAGCCTTCATGACTGGCAAAAATGAAGGGAAAATTTCTGCACATTTGTAAGTTTCTACAGAAATCCTGCCTGATTTTTTAAAAATATTTTTTCTTGTATGTACATTTAATGACAAAAAGTGGTATAACCTCATATTTCTCTTTGTAATGCTTATTGAAATTTGGTCTTGAATTGTTAGGCAGGAGCAATGTTCTCACACCTTACTAATAGCTGTTTATAAAAAGAAACCATTGTGTCCCAAAGCTTCCTGAGCTCCTGTTTTCAGGAACAGTATGGTTAAGATGTCTCCTCTTGAAAGCAAGATGTATTTCTTACACTATAACCCAGACCCAAATCTTCAGAGAGAGACAATACATGTACTTCAGAAGGGAAGGTAATACCTGTGCTGTGCTGTGAGCTAAACCTTGGGCAGGACAGTGATCTTACTCAACAATCCTTTTGTCCATGGTCCATTTCAGGAATTTAAACAGCCTGGCAGTCCCTGTACTAACACAGACTTGTCATAGTTATGTGTCTTCATTTTGACATAACATTACTCAAAACATTTGCAGTGCAAAAGTCTGGGTTGGTCTATCTGATGGATAATTAGGATTTAGGGTTAAGTTAAATGAACTTTTAAGAAAAACCTAAAGCTAAAAGGATTCTCTCTTTTATTTTTCTGAACAACTTAATAGTACTGGCAGAATATCTTAGCTATATACTGACTTTACTAGAAGATATTTCAAAAACTTAATTGCATGTGTTTATCTGCTGTATGACAATTCCCAATATTTTTATAGGTGAGAAAATTACTTATTGACTGCATATATTAATTATTCCTTCTCTTCTTTTTCATATAAGCTAGTGATTATTGTAAATTATTTCAATGTCATTAATATAAGAATGGGGGTAAATTATTTTTTTTGACGTTCTTCAATTTCACTTCTTGGAATTCAAGTTTGGGTACTTAAATTAAAAGACTGTCACTAGAGATGCACAATGTTGGTAATTTCCACAGAGATTTATTGCAAGTGGGTAATCACAGCCTCATGGCTTAAGTTCAGGCAGACAGCTTTTGAATATTTGATGTCCTTGTAGTTAAGGATCCATCTATTCTTTTAAAGAAAGAATAAGTTGGGTTTACTTCTCCCAGGATTATCTGCAGTGCTTTAATTTTTGTTTCCGTTTACTTCCCCCATTTCAATGGGTTATAGCCACCAACATGGTTTGCAGTGGCAACTTTCCTAATCTGAAAACTGCAGTTCCTCTTTCCAGTTTCAGTCTCACATCAACAGGACATGTGTCTTCCACAGAGAGTGATGTAATTGCAGATATCAGTATACAGCAAAGTTACAAGTTCTATTTTTTCTGTTCATAGAGTACTTGAATCCAGTACACACGTAAATTCTACAGAGTGTCTGTGCTGGATCCATTATCTTGTGTTTCATCTCTGAAATACCTGAAACAACAGCTTGGATTTCTCAGGAGAGTGTAGTTATTCTCTGAAATAACTTTATTGATCTCACTGATGGGAGTGATCAGGAAGCCATGCTAAGTGGGTAGTTTTGGTGATGTTTCCCCAACCAACTAAATTAGCTGATAAAATGTTCAATATTGCAGGATAAACACTGAGACTTGCAAGAAGAGATGCTATAATTTTCAGCTTCTGAAATTGCTAGAGATGGAAATCTATTCAGTTTCCTCTTCAGAAGTAGACTAATAAAATTTTCAAGTATTTCTAGCTTGTGAAGATAGGCTCTTGTGATGATTCTAAACCAACCAAGTTTATAGAAATTAGACTTAAAACTCTTCAATTGCAGTAGAAACTTGCCTGTCTTAAGGGTATTTAAGTTTCCTTCCTAACATATCATAGTGTTATTCCAGATCATAAACTCTAATGAAGAGTGTTTAATATTTTAAATGTTGTTGCCTAATTAATCCTCCCATAAAATTTCATGAAGCTTATCATTGCAATTAAATGATTTGTCACAAACAGGCAAATATGGAACTCCTGCAAAGATAAAGATGCAGAAATGTAAATGTTTATTAGGTTAGGCAAATTATATGTCCTGTCCTCCAGGTCATTCCAAACACAGAAACAGAAAATTTCAGTTCTGTCTTTTTTTCCAAATTATTTCAGAGGTTCTTCCTCAAAGTTCAGTGAACTTGAGATTGCTGGAACCTTAGAGCATTTTCCTATACTACCCAAGTAATAGTCTGGGATATGAAGGCACTACAGGTATCAAGTCAGATAACATTTGAAGGTGCAGAATCACAGAAGATGTTCTTGTTAGAGAGCAAATTGGATAACTAAATTAGATGGAAATGAACAGAGATAAATTTCATTTAAAGTCAACCAGGTATTTTTCTGTACACATCTTCCTTTCACTCACACAGAGTGTTAATAACTCTTGGTTCCCACTGGTTGTTCTGGGTGGTTTGTTTCCTCTTTCATCACCAACCATCCTCTGAAGAACTTCACTAAGTCCTGCTGTCATTCTGTTGGTAACATGGCAGAAGTCAGTCTGGTTGAATTTTGAGAGACTGTGATAAAGGCTTTTAAAAACTTTTATAAAATTAAGTCAGTAGTTTTAAATGAAAATATTGCTTTACTGCTGATATTCTGTGTTCAGTAACTTCTTTAGTAAGGCCACTAAAGAGCTCAACTGACAAGCCGCAAATGGTTTTTGTCTAGAATGTGAAACATTTGACTTTGGGACTGTTTGTCTTCAAGACGTTGTTGTAAAATGTGTATTCCCCAAGGCAACAAATGTTTTGGATGTTTTTAATATGCTGAAACAAACATAAATCAGAAGTTAGCAATCAGCAGCCCTAAAGACTAAGTCCTGCGTAGGAGAAATATGACCCCAGTAGGAAGTATTTGAAGTGGACCATGAAAGATGCCAGAGAAGTTCACAATCAGTTTGCTCTCTGCTGCCTTTCCCCATCCGACTCCCTCTCCTGGCCTTCCTATCTCCTGGTCACACCTTAGCTCCACAGGATTTCCTCTGTTTCTGTTCCATTTGTCCCCTAGCAGAGAGCACAGATGTATAGTTTTCAAGTGTTTTGACAACAGTACATCAGGCTGAAGACTGAACATCACCAGTGTGAAAGTTTTCCTCCTTTTGCTTCTTCAGCTCAGTCCCTTGTTCTGTGGCAGCCCAAAGAAAGGCTGTGGAATTGGTTGGTATTTGGGGAATCTGAATTCAGGAAGACCATTTAGTTTATTTGGAGTTTTAAGTAGATTCAAAATGCTTAAGTTTTCAGGCCAACGGTTAGAAAAGCCCATAAATCCAAGAGATTTTTTTTATAACTTTGTATTGTCAAAACATTTTTGTAGCCACATTTTCAGAACTACTGAGTTAGTGTTGGCATTAAGGCAGTGGATAGTCCACAGTCTTTGAAAAACTGTGTCGCTGTTTTTTAGATTAAAGCAAACCTTACCCTTTGATTAAAGGATGTTACTGAATTGCCTGGTCTATAGCACACACACTCTGAAATGTGACTAATGGGTTTCAGAGAGGGTTTTGCCACAAATAGTTCTAGATTCCAGTAAGGCATATTCTAATGCTGTTTCAGTGTAACCACAGAGAAAGTACAGCAGCCTCACTGACCAAAAGCACTCGTGTACCCATGCTCATCAGGGGCACTGGTGCAGCACTTCCTGCACATGTGTGTGAGCTCTCTGGGCTCTGTGGTGAGGTTGGAAGGGGATGAACACAGAGCAGAACTTCTGCACTGCACAGAAACCAGGCACAGTGAGGCCTCGTCAGTGCTTCTGCCTCATTTTCCCAGACTGCAAGGCACTCATTTCATACAGCATTTGTAAAAATTCTTTTTGGTATCTTGTCTCAGAATTGCTGTATGTCAATTTGAAATTTCCATTCTGTTTTATTTTGTTAGACTCTGTATTATCATGTCAAATAAGAAGTTTTGAACAGCATGAGAACTTGATTTTCAAGTTTGGAAGTAATAATAATGGGAAAAAACTAAATCTGTTAGTCTTTCAGAGTGAGATCAAACAGCATATATATGGCCAAACGTTCACTGTTTCCAACATAGATGGAACTACATGAACTCACAAGTGAGTGAGTGGTTTGTAGTTTTGTAGGATTTGGGTTCCATGAAGTGTTGGCAATATAAGCTCATATCTGTAAAACCATCAGTCTCACTGACACAAGGAAGAAAAAGAAATACTTTTGTTACACAAAAATTACCACTGATTTTGTAAATATTTGCAAAGGGTGTTGTGTAACATTTCTAAGTATGAAGCTTAGGGGAAAAAATTGCATTCACCTTAGAACTTACTGTGGTTAATTCCTCATCTAGTATTACAGGTATAACTGACTATTAATTCTGAGGTCATGAGTTTGAGTGTTTTGATACTCCGTTATTAGCTTTATTATTTCTTTTATTTATGCTGTGTTCTGGCATGTTCAAATACCAAAAACAATTAAGTACATAAAGTCGCTGTGAATTAAAATCAGTAGTAAATGGGTTGCATTTCTAAATGGTTCTCATAATGGTTCTCACTGACACTTTTCATTTCAATATTGCTAAATTCTGCTTAGTAAGTGTAAGTATATTAATAGGATGTTATGCACCATTTGCAACAGGTTGTAACAGTTAATCAGTTCAACTCTTACAATATTTTACTTGAAATCACTTTTTATCCATGAGGTTTTTTTAAATAGCTTAACCAATGTTGGGAAAAGTCTGCTATTAGAGATATCTAACACCACATACATGTGCTACCTTCCCAATGCCAAGTGTTTGTTTTCCTCCCACCCCAGTCTGCAAGTGCCATTTGCTTCACACAATAGAAACCGTGTTAAAAATTGGGGGGGGGGGGGAATCCTTGTCACTTTTTTCGTACTATTTTGTGGCTGAACTAGTGTGCTAGGTTGCAGCTTTATAAATCGCTTGTTCTGAAATCTTCATACTGTTTGTTGTTTGTCCAAACGCTGCCTTCCTACTAGGACTTCTAGCAGCAGAAAGTAGGTATCCCTTTGTTTTCCTTTAAGGCATATCATTCAGCTATGGTGTGTGTCTTTGCATGTTTAAAACTCCTCTTTCTTTTGCTTCTCTTTGCTATTTTCAGTTTTAATACTGCCTGTTCAAAAGCAAATAGCCTGAATGGTTGTGACTAAGTCTGTCTATAATTTTGACAGTATAATTAACCAGCAGTAATGTGATTTCCAGGCAATTCTAAGGATTCTAGTTTAGAGGCAGTATTAAAATTACCTGAGGTTTGGTGGGTTTTTTTCCCAATATTTAACATTTGCAACACAACTGGAATAAAATCTAATTTTCATTAAATTAATAAAGCGTAAAATGTGTTGGGTTTGAGTTTTTGTTCCAAAATTGTTTTCATGGACTAATGGGCTTTTTTTTTCCTTAATACTAAAGGTATATTGTTTATTAGTCTTTTTTTTTTTTTTTGCCTTACCCTTGCATGAACTTTCTTGGACCTTCTGTGTTGATGTGATACAAGATATATGCATATCCATTGTGTATATGCATACACCTGATTTAAACAACTATCCAATATGTGTCTCCTCAAGGAAGAAATATTATTGACATGTAGGGAGAAGGTTTTGGTGCAAGTTAGGTGCACACTTCATGGGAGACCGAAAGCACAAGCACTGCTAAAACCTGTAGACTATGCTAGACCGAGGAGGTGTGAAATTCTACACCCTTTGATACAAACCACAGCCATTTCCCAAAAAAACAAATTCAGCATCTCCAAAACCAACCTATAAAAAGTAGGGGCTTTCCTGCAGTGCTTTAAGACTTGGAGTCTAACAACTCTTCTTCAGTCCCAGGTTAGGGCAGCAAGACATTTGTCTATGTCTCCATTTCTGATCAGAATCATGGATTTTGTGGTGGTTGTTCATTCCTTTAATCTTACGGTCTGAGGGGGAAGTTGTTCCTTGTCCTCCTATTTCCCTGTCTCAGAATGCCTGTCCAGTAGTATGAGTGTGAGAGCTCAGTGGATTTTTACATCAAAGTTTTGCCATAGTATTATTTTATACCGTTGTAGGGAGAATAAGAAACCTCACACAGAGCCTCTGCCACTGATTTTGGGGTTGGTTTGTGCATAGAGACTTTCCTTAGCAAACTTACAGACTAACAGAGTGTGCTGCCCTCAGACTGGTCAGAAGAGGATTTTTGTATCTTTTTGTAATGGGGAAATGTCTGAGGAAGTACTAGTGAAGGGTATTCCTTTGTGAAAATAGTGCTTTTTGTTGCATGTGAGTGTGCTACACGTAAGGTGCAGGGCTGGTCTCAGAAAGCAATACCTTCTGACTGCATGTTTTTACCACCACACCAGACTGCCTTCCATCAGATCTGGGGCTGGCTTTAGGGGAGGGATAACTGGGAAAGGACCTGGCAAGCTTTGTGTCAAGGTCCCAGGACTGGAGACAGGAGGAAGCTGGGAACATGCATACACAGTGCCCCTGTGTGTGCAGAGTAAAAGGAAGGCTGTCTTCAAAATTAAGCATCAGTTTCTCCCTACTCTTTTTGCTCTCTCCCTTCTACTTCCCTTTCCCCCTGTCCTTTTATGTATTTCCATACACAGTGCTCTCCTCTGCTGTCCTGCTTCTCTTTGGGAACACTTTATCTCTTGTCTCCTCTTTTTTTCCTTTTTTTTTTTGTTTTTGTTTAGCCTTTTCCTCTTTCTCCCTGTTTTTGTCTCCTGCACCTATTTCCTTTGATGTCTTCTCTTTTATATGCCTTTCTTTCCCTTCTTGTATTCCACAGGTGTTCTTATCTTCTTTAATTTAGTTGTAAATCCCAGTACCCTTCTGTCACACCAACTGCCTTGTTTCTGCATTTTCACTGTCATCTCCATAAACCTCCATCATTCTAGTTCTCTCCCTAGACTCTTCCTGATTGTTTTATATACATAGATATATAAACATAGTCTATGTGTGTTTATATACATTATTTCTGCCTTATTTGCTTCCCAGTAACATTCACAGAACTGTCTGCATGTAGGAGCCTATTTGTAAATTTAGAGGGTGTCTAAACTTGGCTCTTTGTTTTCTGTCCAAGAAGGAAGAAGTCACTAAACACTATATAGCTCAAATTTGAGAAGGAGAGAGTCCTTACCTGCCATCATTTTAATTACACTTCTGTGTACATGTGAAACATGTTTCTCCCACCTCGTTTTCAACTATTATAGGCATATATACACAGCTGCTTTGGCTGTTATCTGTCCTTGCAGAGTTAGATGCTCTGGAATTGTGAGCAGCAAAGAGCAACAAATGAGTTTAGAGACCTCTTAACTCCAGTGATTTTTGAAGATGCTGTTTAAAGTGATAAAGATATTTGGTACTCAGTTGGCTTCCTCTTAATCTAAGAAGTTATGTCAGTACAAGTAGTGGAAAGGTCCCATCTCACCTTTAATGGAAACAGCATAATTTTAGTGTTTTCTTTACAGGGAATGAAGAAAATAGAGGAGGTCTTTCTGACACATTTTTAATTCCTGTCCACTGCAAACCTTAGTAGTGTTTTATAATGATGTTGATATTGAGCCTAGACTTTCATATATTGCTAATGTGAACAGTTTTTAACATGTATGTGATTGTGATTTGTAGACCTCAGCTGACAGAGACCCCATCATTTCCACAGCATTTTCATATAGTGCTTAATTACCTCATCTATTAAAAAAATTATGCCTTGTGTTTTTAGAGTATTGCAATCAGATGTTCAAACCAAATCCTGGAGGCACTGATCTATGCAGTTATCACTCAGTGGGTTGTTTAACCCAGGGTCAGCATTGCTGGAGTCATAACATAGAATCAGAGAATCTTTTTGCCACTTGTTAAAAATAAAACCCTTGAAAGCTGAATCTCACATTACAGAGCTGGTAAAAATTCTCTCATTGTACTTCACTTCAGAATCTCCCAATATTTATAACATATTTTTCTGAAAATAGCTGCACTTTATAATAAAGCCCATGCTTGTTTGTGGGTTTGGGGTTTTTTTGAGATTGTATCCAGTGACTTCATTTTGTGATTCTAATATTTGATCTGAAAATCTGAAATCTCACAATTTCTGATGGTTTTTCGTCTGTCCTTGCTGTATGTGCCTCAGATCACTTCACGAAGGGAAAAGTAAATCCTGCCTTCAGAAATGCCTGTGCTTTAAGAGCCAGGAGTTTTTATTTTCTTTCATTTCCAGCAGCTGCACACAAGAAGGCAGCCAAGGGATGAGGCTGAGAGAAATCAGCTTCTGTCAATTGTAGATTGACTGACTTAAGGACTGAATTGTGATAGACAGAGAAATTGCAAATAACAGTGAAGGGTTGGTTAGTCATTTAAAAACCACTGTAATCTTCCAGGCATAGTTACTTACCTATTTACACAACATAAAAAATAGCTGAAAAGCCAATCAAATTCATGTAGTTTATAAGAATGAACAGGATTCAATTCCTGGTGTCAGGAACTTAGTTTATATGGTTCAACAGTCTTAGGGGTTTAGATTCTGTCAGTGTCTCTTTAATAAAATCATGCTATTATTATAATGGTTATTATAAGTTCTTCTGCAGAGTTATTTCCTGGCATACCAGTGGCAAAAAGGTCATGGTTTCATAGTTTTACATATATAGTTCTGTTACAACATCAGGCTCCCTCTAAAACCTTTTCATTACTCAGAAGAGGATTTATGACTGACCAAGACTTAAATGGGCATTTGTAATCTTCAATATCAAAAAAATAAATCATTAATTTGCCCTCTCTCAGAATGTGTGTGTGTTGTCAGAATGTAGTCTGTATTTTCAACGAGATCCAAGTCTCTTTACCTAAAGGCTCATTTAGTCATGCCCAGTTTTTATTCCCAACCAGATCACCTGATAAAGCTCCTAGGCCTGTGTGCTGCCTGCTGCACAGCAGAGGAAGCCAGTTGTATCTGCCTGGTTTGCTGAGCCCCAGAAAAGCAAACTTTTTGGGGTGTTTGGTGGTGGAGGGAGACATAGGACTGCTGCAGACTGTGTAGGCAATTCTTGGAACAGTATTTTCAAGTTTTCCTTTGCTCACTTCTAGAGCAGTAAGCAACTCCTCCCTACCTTTAAAGTTCAGTTTCTCTAGTCAAACCACCTGTTCCAGACTAGATGCCACATTGTAATTACTATTTTACCAAAGCTTTGCCTGCTTCCAACTCGATGAACCAGTGTCCATACCAACCTCAGGTGGTATTAAAAGCACTGTATGAGAACTACAAGCACTCTAGAGACAGAATTCTGTTTCTGAGTGGCCATCTGCATAAATGAGGTAAGAGAACCTGCTGGAAATACCTATGATAACTTTGACTACACATTGGGCAAAGAAATAATCCCAAATTATTGCCTTATAAAGCAAATACTTCTAACTGACAAAGAATAGATCTGCCTGGGCAGGAGGCTAGACAGTTCATCTCAATCTTCTTAGGAGCAATTTGGTCTTATCCTTAAGAAGTCATTCCACTAATTATAAAAACATTTTATGTACTAGTGCTAACTGCAGGAGACTGTCATGAGCATTCTGACATGATTGTTTTTTCTTTTTGATGTATGAGATCCCACAGTTTTCAATTTTTCAGAGTTGGCAGCCCCAAGGAAGCTGTGAATAGTTGTAGCCATCCTTTCTTAGGTAGTCTCAAGAACCCAAGAAGGACAGGTTGTGTACATGGCCCAGAGTGTCACTGCTCCTTTGGATACTGAGAACATGTGTGGACTTAGAGCCAGATCCACAGTTACCATAGTCTTCTCACAGAACCATGTTTGGTGTGGATTTTGTTAATATTTCTGCAAAGAATCTTCTATTTGTCTCACCAGAATTGCAACATTTCCAGTGCAATCCTATGTGTGTCTATTTTTATAGTAACTTAAGGTGCAGGGTGAGATTCATCTCACCCAAGTGGTTAGGGCTACTTGAAAATTCTGTGGCAGTAACAGATTTTTCTAACAAAGTTTACTTTAGGGAGTCTTAAAAAAAAAAAACCACAGCCAGTCAAGTTAGTCAACTTGCTTATTTTTCCTGCCTTACTAATATTTATGCATCATTCTGATTCACATATTTATAGATTCTGTCTGCAACTGCTACGGACCATGAGAAATCAGAGCTTTTACCTGGTGTGACTGTAATAATTCACTTAAGTCCTTTCTTTAGCATCTGTGCTGAGGCTACAGTGGGTGCATTGCAATGCTGAAAGTAGATTAAACTCTATTTCCAGAGGATACAAGCTTTAATTACAAATACTGAGTGCTTGACACTTTCCCCCAAAGGTTAGAAATTTAGCTTAAATATGATAGAATATGAATCTTTTTATAAACAGATGTTCTGTAAGGGTTGGTTAGTTTTATTTTGTGTAATATCTTTTTTATGCACTAACATGCTGTCAATATATTGCCACTATGCCTTTTCCTCATGCAGGTGCATGTTATTTGTAACTGGGTGAAAAGCATGACAGGAGATGCAGCATAACATTGTAGGTTAAAAAAGACATAGAGTAGAACTGCAATTTTGGGGGATTAGCAAAGTCACTGTCAAAACTTCTCATCCCATATCTGAAGGACATTCTTAGGAACTTTCTTTTATCTGTTCTATGCAACCAATGGACAGGAGGAAAAAGATCTGACGATCAAAGCTTTAATGTTTTGAAATTCCCAAATATTCAAAAGGTTGTTGGAATGCAAATATTAAAAAATCATAACTTCTATTTCGAAGCCCTAAAAGAATTTCACAGAATAAAATTTGCAAACTAAATAATACTGTTCTCATAAGTAATGTGGTGGTCCAGAGCATTCAGTGTTTTGCAATAATACAGCACTGCAGACAACTTTGAGCACAATTCTCACTGGTTCCTGATTTGGCTCAAGGTTTAGTGATTATGAGCAACACTGAGCTGTATTAGAGACTCTTTAAGATATCCAAACCTCTGAAGTGAATCCTCTCTTGAGTTTTCCTTAAATACTCCAAACACTCAGAAAGGACTTTGAACTCAGAAAGCAAAGTTATGCTAGAAAATACTTTCAATTCTGCACATGGCACAAATAGAAATAAAGGAGAATTCTAACAAATTTCCTTCTGCCAAATGCAGCCTGGAAAATCAAGCACTTTCCTTCAGGCTTGAAGATCTCTTACGTCCATCAGCCTTTAACTGACATACTGTAATGTATGTAAGGTAAAGAAAACAGCACAGTCCCTTTTGGGTCCCTAGGTAATGTTTTTCTTCCTTGCCTTTCAGGCTTAGCTCTGATCTCTTCATCCTCTTACCAGCAGATTCCCAGTCCCTATATTTCCTCAGGTTTCCTGGGAAGCAGTTTGTTGTCTTCTTCAACCTCATGCACAGCAACGAATATAAGTCAAACCATTTAATTTTCTTTGCTGACAGCCTCCACCTTTTTAAAGGAACATCAATTAGTACAGCAAATAGATTTAAGTAGTCAGACACACTTAATGGGAGAGAACTAAGAAGTCTCACAGCTCCTGAGCCATGAGTTGTGAGGTTCTCAGCCTTGGTGCACAGGGAACTGTGAGGAGAATCCTAGTCTGAGATTTGTTCTGAATGTGATTGATGCAAGAGTTTCTAAATTTGTAACTTGCTCATCCTTCTAAGCCATAAGGTCACAAATCTTGTGTAGTAGGTTTTTTGTGCGTTCTGTTACGTTCATTCTAGTTTTCAAAGTTTTCAAAGAAAAAAAGTTCATTTGTTTTCTTACGTGGTTTAGAGGGCATTGGGGTTTTTGTTTCATGCTATTCTGAAAATGCAATGCAAAAGAGTTTGAGTTAAGGGAGGCTGGTAAGAGTTCATACAGTGGAGGATGGAATTTCAATAAATACAGCAAATTTTTAGATCTAGTCTCTCTTGTCAAAAGGACATAGATGAATGAATAAGTAAACAGGGTGAACATAGTGATGGGATATTAGTGAAGCAGAGAATGTATAGAATTCTGTACCCAGAATTAGGAATTTGTTTATGAAGAAGCACTCACAGTTCACTGTCAGTCAGCAGCATTGTTGCAGACTCTCACTGGATATGGTGCCCTCTTTCCAGATGCTTATAGCACTGTGGAAAAACTGAATGCATGGTGCCTGGATGCTTAGATAAGCCAAAGTTGGCATTTTAGTAATGCACACAGGTGGCAGGCACCACTGATACCTGTTTAAAAGAAATTGTTTCACACAGAGCCACTATGGGCTGGTTTGCCATGGATTTGGATGTTTCTGTATCCTCCCCTGCTGTGAGTTCAACTTTCCTCATGGACTTCTCCTCCCATTTCTCCTTTTTGTCTCCATATCTCTTGCTTCTCTTTTCACCCCCATGCCATGTGAAAATCATCCCCATCGTCCTATGACCCAAAACAATGCACTGGTCAAAAAGCAGCAAGTGTTATAGGTGGGTGTGAGATAACCAGGCAAGCAGAACAAACAGAATGAAAAGAGAGCTCATGTTACAGCCTTTTTCTGTCCTCTGGAGGACATAGCAGTTAGGTCTTTCTCTCTCTTCCCTCCTCTATCCAGATGCTGATTTTAAAAGTATTTGTCAAATCACTGGTTCTTTCAACATTTTTCTGAAGTTTCAAATTTTGTTTCAAGATCATTTTTACTGACGTTTCAAAATTTTGCATATGTATTTGAAATGGGCCAGGAGCTCAAAAAAGCGAAGAAAGAGAAGGTTGGGTGAGAATGGTGAGGACAGGCTGATAATCCAAGTCACTTCATGAGACATCGTTGGAAACCAGGCTAAAACAGAAGAAAGCTAAGCTTAATAAAATCAGGTTTTAACCTCTGTCCCATTAAACCATTTCTTATGTATAATTACATTAGATGTGGGCACTGTTGGTATATGTAAAGTTTATTCAGTGAGTTTTCCTGTAAAAACTCCAGCTTTTTTAGGCTCCTCTTCCAGTTGTACAAGATGAAGTGCAAGTTTCCTTTTCCAAAGTTCACTTTACCATGAGCCTTTGCTTTACTGATTTTTTTATTCTCTCTTTTTTCCCCCCTGTGTATTGCCCCATAGGAGCAGTCTCACAGGTGCTGGACAGCCTGGAAGAAATTCATGCACTTACAGACTGCAGTGAAAAAGACTTAGATTTTCTTCACAGTGTTTTCCAGGATCAGCATCTTCACACACTACTAGATGTAAGTTTTCTGTGATTAACAATTTGAATGTGTTCCCATACCTGTTGTTCAGTATTTTAGTTTATCCTGAGCATATTATCTTTTTTCTTTCCTACTGAAACTAATTTATTTAGGTGTAGAATGTAACAATCAACTAGCACCTTACACACAAAAATGCTTTTTATTGCTGTAAATATAAAATCTTTTAGAATATGTAAGTGGTTAAGGACTTGGTTTGAGTTAATAGTTTGGCTTTAAAACAGTTCATCAGAAAGGCTTTTTTTTCTTTTGATAAGGGCTGCTTTTAGTTCTTATTTTCAATGTGAATTGCAACCTTATAACTGTACAGATTCATTCCATTTTTATTATTATGTGAAAGTAATGTACAAATCTTACACCAGTTCTAGGGATATTCTTATAACATTTTTTGTGTGAAACACCTAGGTGTGCTTTTTTTCTCTCCTACACTTGAACACAGTGTGTAATAGGCTCAGTCATTTAAATTTGTATTACCCTGTGGTTCACAAGAGCTAATACTCCAAAAGACAGCAGTGTCTTACTGGAGTGTCAAAACCTTCTTTGAAGGACAAATCCAAAAGCACATCATGCTGTCAGTGACTTCTGTGTGTGCATAGTATTGGGGTCTAAAATAGAGGTCAAAAAGCAGCAGAAAAGAATTTCCCTGATGTTTTTACTGGGATATATGGATACGTAATGTTGAAACACGAAGATTTGCTTTCAGGCAAGACCAACTCTTTCTAAAGCAATCTACACATTGCACTGAGAACAAAAACCAGGTTGGAACCAAATGCACAGAGGTGTAGGCTATGAGCAAGTACCACGACACAACAGTAGCAGATCTGTAGAGCAAAGCAGTTGACACTGAGGACCCAGTGTTGACAAATTTGTGTATTTTCAGGGTTTCTACTTTATACTAACTATACTGCAGTCCTATGGACCGAATAACTACTTGGAGCATCTTCTGATTTAGTGTCATTTGAGAGTAAATCTGCTCTGGTAACACTGTACAGTGAAAACCAAATTAGGGCATAATCAGAAGATTCATTTCAAAAATGCACTCCTGGATCAAACCTAAATGCTCATGTGACCATATAGCTGATGACCATTTTACTACAATGTGTTAAATTGAACAGCTTGGGTGCCTTAGTGAATATCCCAAGTCTAACAAGGTCTCTGTGCTTTTTACCCAGTGAAATTTACTTGCAGGAATAGGAATCATTCCAGCTATCTGATCTGCAGGTAGATGATTATGGTTGTAGAAACTTTAAAGAATTCCTGGCAAATTGTTGAATGCTTTAGCTCCTATGTGCAGCTTTGCAGGAGTAAGGTCTAAATGTAAATGGAGCCATAGGTCCTTTGGTGTCCAAACTCTTTAAAATGTGGTAGATGATTTGTGCATTTCTTACAATTTGATTAGCAGATCGTGGGTCACTTGAATTCTGTGCATTCTTCCAGTGTAAAGGATTCAGATCACACATACTTCCACCCAGAAGCAAGTGCAGCTGCTGAGTTCTGACCTGGCCTGGATGGGACACGATGCTGCTGGAAAAGCTGTTCGTGTGACTTCAGGAGCCAGAGATAGTTAGCTGTTAAGTGATGAGGACATTGCTCTGGCACAACACTCCAGTTCTAATCTTTGTTCTTGATAAATGTTTATGCTTTTTACATTAAAAAGTCATTATATGAAGCACACAGGAAGAAGGGACTAGGAGCTCAGGACTTTCCTGAATTGCATGTCCAACAACTCATCTTGCAATTTGCATTAAAATACAAATCTTTTTTCCCCCAGTTTATCTAAGTTATGGTCCAGATGCCTAAATTACTCTGTATATTACATGCTGCAGTAAGGTGATCAGATAATATGAATGAGAAATTAAAAATCTGGACAGGACTAGAATAATGTGAGTGTAGTAAGAACCAAAACACTTGTGTCTCTCATGCAGAAAGGTTTTAGATATTTATTAACCATTATTATGTTCTCATATAATTTTGCAGGCTTTGGTAAATCACATGGCCTTAGGTTCAGTGTTTTGCTGTCTGACAGGCCTGCCAGACATTAACTCATGCTTCTGCAATGCTTTTCCTTTTTTCTGTTCTTGACAGTACCAGTTTGGTTCATAGTACTTCATTCATGATCTGCTGTTTCTCTAATGGTGTGTTGCGGCTTTTTAAACAAGAAAAAGCTGCAATGAATCCATAAAATTTTCCCATTCTTTGGTCATTCCCTTAGACAGAAAGGGATACATTTAATTGCACATTATAGTAACATATCTATGAGAACAAAATGCTACGTGGAAGGAGGATGATAGAATAGTCCTCAAAAATGCTTTGATTAGAATCTAGCAAAATAATATTCTAAGAAATTACAGTGTCATGAAATACATATTTGAAAGACTGAAGCGAGTTACAGACAGTATTATGTGAAAGTGTAGCTTTTTCATGTCTGTGACTTGAATGTGGGAGGTTGGTTTCTGTTTATACATTGATACTATTCCAGTTTCTCTCAGACCTCTGAAAAAATCATCAGTTGTACTTGGGTGAAAGTCTGTCAGAGAAACTGTTTATTCCTCTCAGAGTGTTTGGGGTTCCTGAAGTCCCCAGACCAAGTAACCTATAAAGCATTATAATTCCACTAAGGAGGGATTTTCTAATCAGCCTTGACGTTGTGGCTGTCACTTTGCATTAAACTCCTGTTCCTCTTCCGTGGCCATTTTCCACAGTTAAATTTGTTCTCATGTTCCTACTCTTTCTCAAGAGTTATCCTTATTTTTAGATTAGGCACATGATGGTAGATCATGCCTGCTGCTAAAATACCTTCTTTTGACTCTGATCTAACTCTTTTTCTGAAGACAAAAAAAAAAAAAAGAACGCACAATCTTTGTGTTAAGGGTGCAAGTTACCCACATGTTGCTTTTTGCAGATCACTAAATAGAAGTCTTCTTTCTCAGTAATTCATGAACTTAGGTGTTATAAGGTCAGGCACCTCTGAAGGCCATAGAAGGCATCAGCCCATCAACTAGTTTTAACTGATTCCCTTGTGTATGTCTGTTTAGATCGTTTTCTTAAGACTCTCTTCCAATTTTGGTGCCAAAGCTGTTAAAAAACAAGGGGGGAAAAGGTGCCAACTGCTTAGATAGTAGTTTTTACTCACCCTGGGCCAAATCCTGCAATACATCAGCATATCCTGATGTGGACTCACAGTTTCATTGTGTTTTTTAATCATTTTACAAAACCTTCTATTGTGTTGAGTGGGTTTTTTCCCCCACAGAAGTTACACAATTCAGTATTAAAAACTTGATTTTGTTTACTGGGGGGAGTAAAGAAAAGGCCCTTCTAAAACAGCAATTCACTACCAAAAAAAAATTACTGTTTCATAACTGATCTTTCTTGTAAAGTAAAAGAGTGACTTTGGGTTGGACAGACTTTTTTGTTCCTTGCTTCTGTTTGAAGTGTGATGATCCAAATTTTGGTGAATGCTGTAGGACATTCCTGTGTGTGACTTAGATCTGTCTGAGTTTGTGACTATATAAAGCTGTTTCATTCTGGGATCCAATTTAGATGATAAAGAATGTAGTAAAGTATATAAATAACTTTATGGAAAAACATGAGTTAAATAGTGAAACAGCTTTTTATTGCCACTGACAGATTTTGAGAAGGCTTATCAAATGCTTGAATTAAATTACGTTTTTTGTGACTTTCATGAAGGAGATGCTGGGAGACATTGCTGTCTTGTGCCAGCAGTGCTGATAAAGAAGCTGGAAAGAAATGTGAAGAGGTTACTAATTTTGGAGGCATTTGGTGTTCTGCATCATGACAAAAGATTTTACTGTAATGATTGTTTTGAAAAGTATAGTGGGCTTCAAAGCTGTGCCTAGTGGGGAAGATCTTTACACATTGTTTCATCTCTCTGAGTGCATCAAAGGAAGCAAAGTTTGCTAAAATGGAAAACCAGGAGCTGCTGTTTTATGCAGCTGCCTGTATTGAAGGAGACAAGAGAAATCTTTCTGCTGTTGAGTCAAGTGGTTTGGTCACCTCTCCAGGGACACTGTCTGTGGGTGATTCTGAATGCAGATGTCGTTGGATTTACAAGTGAGATTTTTGCTCAGCAGGAGAACAATATCAGCTTTTGTGTGCCTGGGGCCTCTCCCTCTGCCACTGGCTTTGTCTGCATCTGTCTGTCCTGGGGCAGATAGTTCTCTGGGCTGGGATCTTTTGGCTGCTAATTTGAAAAGTTGGTTACATTATTTTCCTAGATGGAATCGTTAAGGTAAGTGATGTTATTTCTGCACATCTAGAAGCGTTATGAGCTTTTAATAAAGTTTGTTTTCCCTTTTGCTGGCATAACACATTACACACGTATGGTTTTAAACAAATTTTGGAGTAGCAATTTGAATCATACCTATATGTGCAGCCACTTCTTTCTTTTCAAGTTTATTTCTATCCACAGTGCTTATATTTAAGGCATACTGATTTTTTTTCAAGAGAATAATCTCATTTTTATCTCTGTTACCCTTTGTTGGTAGTGGTAATGTTTCAAAAGAACATGCATCTGTGCACACTCCCAGAGTTTCCTTAGGCTTTCTTTGAACTCAATCATCCAAATAGATTTTGGTCCTGAAGTCCAGACTTTTAAGGAAACATATTTTCTCTTTTGCTGGAGTGAATGTTGTTGGAACCTCAGTTTAGCTTCTTACATGGTTGGCTAAAGCATTGTGCTGGATTTATTTTGGTTTGTTCTGTTTACCCTCTCAGTGCTGGATGTTGGCACAGAAAATTTGAATGTTTTTTCTAAAAGTTGCAGTTATCCAGCAGTGTCCAGCCATGGCTGATACAATAGTTCTCTGTTTGAATATGTCTTAAACATTTCATGCATTTACTTACCCCTGATATACTCTTTTCTGAGCAAAGTGTATCGTTTTAACAATTTTATTACATATTTTAGAATAAAAAGAAATCTTAAAAAAAAGCAAAAAACTTTTTTATTTCTCTTTTCAAGATCC